ACTTAGACCTCCAGTGGTTACCCTTGCAGAGGGCAGGGTCCTGGTTGGGGGTGGGGCTGTCTCCCAGGCTGTCCCCCCTTAAGCATTCTCTGCAGAAATGCCCCTCCTGTCCACCATGTAGCAGGTTCAGGATACAGGCCCCAGTCGGGTGGGGCCCTCTCTGAGAGCAGCAATGAGGCCATGGTGTCTCTTATCTTTTTCTCTCCTGTTAGTAAGGTCCCGGACATACAGACGTAGCCGTAAATACAGACAGGGCTAGCTGTATTACTTGGCTCAATGACTTTCCCTTCAGCCACAGTCTGAGTTTTTTACGAATATCTGGGGCTGACTGTTAGCAATTTATCTTGGAGGAGAAACTCTCTCACCTGTGACTCTGAGTCCACTGTGGTATGCTTTCTGATAGCATCCTTAAGATGCTGTAGAAAGGTAAGAGGATTTTTTATTTTTAGGTTGTTGCTGTAAAATTGTTATTTTACATTGACACCTGACACTCTGGAGAGCAAGTCTCTGAATGGTTCTGGGCCTCAGTTTCCTCACTTGAAGAATGGTCTAGGTTAAACTAAGTTTTTCTACTATGAGATGGCTGAAGTGACATTAATGCCACTTATCTTCTTTACCATTTTTAATTTTTTTACTAATACTGGGGAATTGAACCCAGGGCTTTGCACATGCTGGGCAGACATTCTCCCATTGAGCTACTTCCTCAACCCCAAATATTATTATTTTTTTTTTACTTTGGCTGTACTGGGCTTGAACTCAGGACTTTCTGCTTGTAAAGCAGCACTCTACTGCTTGAGCCATATACTCATTTCCAACCTGAGTGCCTGGGCCAGAACCCATTGCTTCTCTAATAAGATAAGAGTCTGGTCTAGTAGGAACCTAATATCCTTTCATGTCAGTTGAAAGGTTTGGATCACAGAGATAAAGGCTTGAATGTATTTCTCTGGCCATCAGTACAGCTGTTTAGATGTTTTTAAATTTCCCTTAGATCTGATAACTGGAAGGGGACTGACTTGCCCTCTTCCTACCATTGCCTGTTGAAGAGGGAAGCACTTGTTAAGAGGTTCTGAGTACTGGAGTGGCTTGGAAGGTAGAAATTTGTATAGGGGACCTCAGTTTACTTTTTTACTTTTATAGAAAAGGTCTAATTGGAGTATGGTATTGTAATTTAAGGAACCCTGTGAAGGCCACTTCACTTGGTCACCAAAGGCATACTGAGGCTGACCTCAGTACAAAGTTTCCAACATCTACCAGCCAGAAGACTGGAAGATGCAGGTCCCATCTAGAAAGAACAAAACGTTAGGATCCTGACTTTTAGCTAACAGCAGGCAGCCTCTGTAATAAAGGCTACCCTTTAACAAAGAAATAAATCATTGGTAAAGTTAGAGAAGGGCATTCAGAGGGCATTTCAGGCCAATAACAGGGCCATACGGGACAACTAGTGTTAATATTTGGAGGGAAAAATTTATGTTCAAGCCAAAGGTATAGAAAATTCTAAATGAGAAGTTTAGAGACCACAGTAACGTCTATTTAGTTATTTCTGGAACTATAACCTTGAGCTAACAATTGACTTACAAGGGCTGGGTCTGATGCCCTGAGGTGTGAGGTGGGGCTAGGAGCAGGACTTGTGCAAGGCTCCACTCCTTCCACACACACCTGGGACAAATGACCCTGACTGCCTAGGCTTGATCCTGTGGCCTGTCGCCCTTCCCCCCTTCCTGTGTGCTCTGTGTGTGTTTATTCTAGGGGAAGTGGTGGCGGGCCACAGCCATCACTATGTGTGGCTGGCAGCCCGGGATGTGCTGGGTTCTCTCTATGGATTTTCGTAGCTATGGCAGGCGTTTTTGCTGTGTCCAGGAGCCGGCATTCTATGCACAAACGTGCCTGTTTGCTTTCCCTCCTCCCCTTGTGGCAGCTGCAGTTTTTTGTAAGTGCTTTTCGTAAAGCAGCTGACTTAAAGTTACTTTAGTCTGAGAGGCCTGGCAAACTAGTTGGAATAACTTAAGTCATAAGGTATCATGCTACAGGTTTTTCATGGGAGGCAGGGTCCCAGTAAGCCCAGGGAGGGGAAGGCAGACAGAGACAAAGGACACATGGTGAGACCATGGAGGAGGCAGAAAAGGTGTGCTGACATCTTAGGTAAGGGAGGGGAAGGCAGAGCCTGGAGGCATGACACACGCCTATGGGATTAGCCATCACCTATGTCTCTAGGTTGCTCCCATTGACTGGTACTGGCACACTTTCAGCAAAACGAAACCTCCACTCTCCGGTCACTGTCTCGGGAAAAAGGGACATTAGATGTGGGGGAAGAGAAGCAGTTGTCAGGTGCCATAATCAAACAGGACTCCACCAATGTAGCATGAGGTGTACCCAAATAAATTCGGGGCTTGGTCTCAGCCCACAGGAAGGGAGCATGAGCTCTCCCAGAGCTGGAACCGCCTTCAGGCCAGAATTGGCAAGGAGTGGCTTGCTTAACTCCATGATGGGGAAAGCTTTTCAGGAAGATAGGAGATAGGTATGGTGAGCAGTGCACGAAGTCTGCTTACATGGGGAAGGAGGTTTGGAGAGGAATTGGCTGATTTAGAAACTGGTTTACAGGCTAATAGAATCTGCGCAGGGGAACAGAAAGTACAGAGGGAGGATTTGAAGTCAGAGAGCTGGATTTAGACGGAGGTATGAAAAAGCTTGGACATAATGGAATCTCTCCCCATCGTCCCGATCACTCACAGTAGTTATGTGTGCCATAAAAGGTTGGGATCTAAAGACCTGAAAAGGGGCCAGTGACTTTGGCTGTCTAAAGGATAAGTGGGCCAGATTTGAGTGCAAAAGCAGATCAAATTTTTTGGTTTTATATGTGGGGTCAAACCCAAGGTGTCCAAATTATTGAGGAGGCATCTCAGTGGGGAGTCAGACGGCAAAGAGGAGGAGGCCCCCATGTTGGGATCTGGTCCCGAAAAGGGGTTTGGAGGATATTATGAATCGCGGGGCGTCCTCACACGGCTCAAATATCCAAGAACAGTACAAGGTGCACGAGAAGCACTTGTCACTACGTTCTAGTGGCCTGTAGGGCCAAAAGGCCGAGGGGGCTGTGGGTCACCCAGCACCAGGCTTTCTGTGACTGCAGAGAATGCAGAAATAGACCCCAGCCAAGGCTGATTGGGAAGGGATTCTTCCATCTACCATCTGAGCCCCGGAGATGACATAAAGGGGGAAATGCTTAAACCCCACAGACACTGAGGGGAGAGACCGCAAAGGGAGCCCAATAAGGGTATGTGGACTCACCAAAGGATGTCCGGTGTTGGATGCAAGCGAGGGCGATCGGGAGGATGAGTCCTAGCCAGGCACATCCTCAGGGTGTTCGTGGGGTGAGTCGGAATCGGGGTCCCTCCGGGATTAGCGGGGATATCCAATCCCAGTCACGGCACCAAATGTAGGCCCCCAAAATGACCACGCTGAGAGGAGTGGTCTGGCCAAGAGATTATTGCTGGCCTGAAGAGGAGTGAGCCACGTGGGAGAGGGCGAGAGGAGAGGAGAGGGGAGGGGGGGAGGGGAGGGGAGGAGAGGGGAGGGGAGGGAGGGGAGACAGAAGGGCAGGGGCTTAAATACCCCTTAGTGAGGCTTGGCACGATCTGGTTGGTTAAGGTCATATGATTCTTGCTGATTGATTGGAGGAAGGGGCAGAAGGGAAATTTAAGCTAAACATGAGGCAGGACCATGACCCTGGGAAACAGAACTGAAACCTATTGGCGCCATTATTGCCAACAACCTGCAGTACCGGGCCTGTACAGGTGTGGCTGTGTTCTAGTGAAGCTCCACATGACCTTCAGAATTTTCTGAAATACTACTCTTGTTTTCATTCCCTGCCCCCAACCCAACCATTGGTTGTTCTGGTTTGCGGTGTTGGGGATGGAATCCAGGGTGTTGCACGCCCTAGGCAAGCTAGCCTCCGCGAGCCACTTACAAAGGAGAAAACCACCGCCTGCTCGGGACTGCACGAAAACAGGGTGCAGGTTAGACGTGGACTTGGGACAGTCAGGTGCCCTGTCCTGGAACAGGACGAGGGGCCAGCGATGGAGACCGGGGAAGGCATGGGGAGGGACCTGCTGGGTTGGGCGGAGGCGGGCACGCCCTAACGAAACTCACTGCACCCGCGGGTATGCAGAGCACGACTTAGACTATAAATGAACAAGTCCGTCACATTTTCGCATAAAAATAATAAAGAGGGACCTCTGGGCCAAATTCCACCTGTAGAACTTGCTTGGTGGGCACAGGAATCTGAACTAGGGACTTCTACGTAAAAAGTCCCGATTTCTCACGTGTACTCAAAGAGAGCCCCAAGCCCCGCGTGGTCAGCACCTGCTGCCGCTGGCCTCCAGCCTGGGGACCGCTCGGGAGCCCCGCAGCCGCCGACCCGCGGCGAACCTGGCGCGGGCTCCCAGGACGGTCGGTCGGTGTCACCCGCTGCAGGTTGGCCGGCAGCGATCTCGGCCGCTCGCTGAGCCCTGGGGTGGGGGTGGGAACGCGCCCACCAGACCAGCCCGGAAGCCCAGCGACAGGCAGTTGGTGGGTGCCGAGCTGCAGCCAACGGCCTCGAGCCACGGGAAGAAACCGCTGCAGGAGCGTCCGGCCCCCATCAACCGCCGCTGGATTGCGCCTGCGTGGTCTCCTGGAGGCTCCCGGAGGCGGGGCGGGCGCGCGGAACTGCACCGCCTTGGTCCGCCCGCGGAGCACCTAGGGGCGGGGCGAGTGCGAAAAACTGCGCCTGCGTAGTCTGCCGGCCGGACCTGGGGTTGGAACGAGGAACCGCGCCTGCGCAGCCACCCAGGCCCCGCCCCCTCTGCGGCGCCTGGCTTCTTCTAGCCTCCTGCCCCGGGCGGGGCAGGTGCGAGGGGACTGCGCCTGCGCGCAATAGCCCCGCCCCCCCGAGTCCCGCCTCCGCGCCGCGCGGGGCCCTGGGAGGGGCGCAGCGTCCGGCGGCGTCGCGGGCGGCGGGGCCGGGGCGGCGGGAGGGGCGGCGGGGGCAGACAAAGCGGCTAATGAATGGGCGCGCCCGCCGTGCCGTCCGCAGCCCGCGGGCCCGCGCCGCGCCGAGCCGGCGCCCCAGGTGAGTGCGCGCGGGACGCCTCAGCCGCGAGCCACGTCTGCCGACCGTCGGCGCCGCGCCGGGGTCGGGAGCCCCGCCATTGTCCGCGCCGGGCCGGAGCGGCCTCTCCTGTGTGCGCCCGGCCCGACTCGCTGACAGCTGCCGCCCGGCTCCCGCCGGCCGAGGCCGTGGAGCCGCACCGCCCCGCGCCGCGCCCCCGGGACCCCTCTCGTGCCCGGCTCCCGCCACGTCGCGGCGCCCGCGCCCGGCCGAGGGCTGGCTGGTGCGCGCTGGTCCGCGCGTGTCCGGGAAGGGGCGCCGGCAGTCCCGGCGTGCGTCTCGGCAGCGGTGACATGGGTCCGGTCGGTCGCACGCCCCGGCGGCTAGCCGGCCATCGTGGTGCGGTGGGTCGGACCGCCCCGGCTCACGAGCACGGACTTAAACTGCAGGTCCTCGCTTCACTGCGAGCCGCCCAGCTGCGGCGCCCGCCGTCGCTTTCGCTCCTTTTGTCCCTTTCTGTGCGACCCGCACCGCCTCCGCGGGGCCGCCGTCCTTCCCCCGTCGCAAAGTCCCCGAGCAGCTTCTGCGGGCTTCTGGGGATGATGAAAAGGGAAGTTGATTGTTTTGAAGTTCACTGTGATCAGATTAAGCACATGGCTTTTTAAAGAATCCACTTAAGGCTTTTTAAGGAGCCCAGACGGCGGGAGCAGGAACATTTTGTGACTTTCTACAAAGAAGTGTACATCTTGATGCTTTTTCTGTGTGCCGTGGAGATCACGTTAGGAGACTAGGAAGGATTTAAAAAGTGCTATGCTGTGAATAAGCCAAGTTTCGGCCGCTGGTTAATTCCACGCTGACCTGTTATGCTGTGGGAGGAAACCTTACAAGTTTCACTCTCTACCCTGTGGGTTCCCACTGGGCTGTCCTTGAAGGATACTCACCTCCTCTCCTTTTAAACAGATCTCGTCTTCTGCTCTTCATGATCTGCTTTTTCTGGGGAAAAGATCTAGTGCAAGAAAGATTTAGCGAATCTTCAGAAAGGTTCAGAGCCTCAGGTTTTTAGGTAGAGGACACAGTCTCCTATGTTGAAAGAAAGTTGTTAGTCCATTTGACAGGTGGTTTACTTTTCAGTCCCCTCATCTTTGTTCCAGGTAATTCCTCAATGTGGTAGTTGATGTTTTGGCATGTGAAAATTCTACTCTTTGATGTCAACACACACATCTACTAAGACCTTGGAAAAAGGTTTTAAGTTAATTATGAGGGGAGTTGATTGAATTCTGTGTATGTTCAAGGGAGCTCATATGTACTTAGTAAAAGAAATGTGTGTGAGCCTGATGCCAGTGGTTCACGCCTGCAATCCTAGCTACTCAGGAGGCAGAGATCAGGAGGATCGTGGTTAGAAGCCGTCCCAGGCAAATAGTTCCCAAGACCCTATCTCAAAGAAACCCTTGCACACACACACAAAAAAACAGGGCTGGAGTGGCTCAAGTGGTAGGACACCTGCCTAGCTAGCACAAGACCCTGAATTCAAACTTTAGTACCACCAAAAAAGAAAGAAATGTGTGTGTGTTTCAGATCCCTGGTGGCCTAGAGTTTGGAGAGAGACCTGGGCAGTGGAGCTCTGGAAGCATGAAGACAGTAAGTGACCATGGTCAGTGCATCCTCCGATTCATATCTGCATTCTCTCTGTGCCTGGCTTCAGCTACTTAAGTTTTCTACTCTGGTCTGATGTTTTCAGCAGGAAGGTAGTGGCCTGTTGAGGGGAGGGAGCATAGCCCTGTGGTGGAGGCCACTGGCGTTGGAGGCCAAGTCACCAACTCTTCTACCAGTTATTTCCATCTGAGTGTCTACACAGAACAGTTGTTCAAGTCAGCAACTATCATTCTTCTGATTAGTCTTTAGTTTTCAGGTCTCAAGATCTGAAGACATAAACTGAAGGAATTTATTGTTCTTACAGATGTTTCTGTGTTGCTGAATTCTGCATAAGAGTCACAGTTCCTCGCCAGACTCCACCTTTCTGCACCCCAGTCTTCCATCCCCTTTTTGCCCCACTTTTCAGTACCTAGGTTTTTTTTTTCCTTCTGGAATACTTCAAGTCATTTACTTGCTAATTATTTGCAGTACAGGGTTTGAATTCAAGGCCTCATTTTTGTTAGTCAGGTGCTCTACTACTTGAACTACACCCCCCAACCTGTTTTGTTTTAAGTTATTTTTCAGGTAGGGTTTCAAATTTTTGCCCGAGGCTGTTCTTGCACTGTGATCTGCCTAGCTATGCCTCCCTCATAGTTAGAATTATAGGTGTGTACCACCATGCCAGGGTTTCTGGCTGAGATGAGGTAAGACCTCATCTAAGTTTTTTGCCGGGGCTGGTCTTAAATCACAATCCTCCCCATCTCCACCTTCCAGTGGCTGGGATTATAGGTTTGCACCACCATGCCTGGCCCTTTAGCTAATTATTTGATACGTACTTTTGGTAGTTCAAATTCTGGAAGGCACCTATAGGAATAAATTAAATCTTCCTTGTTCCTGAGGCAGAGGAACTTCACTCTGCATGCCATCTGGCATTCTTACCTCTGTGCCCTGTACCTTACACTGTTCTACCTGGTGGGGCAGTGTGTCTTTATAAAAAGTCCTGCCCTCAGAGAACGTGGTGGTGGTGATCAGTGTAAACTAGAGAAAAGGGCCCGATAGCTGGGTGTGCTTGTTGTCCAACCTACTTAGGAAGCTGAGGCAGGAGAATCATTTGAACCCAGAAGATCAAGGCCAGCCTGGGTAACATAAAAGAGGCCCCATTTTCAAAAAGAAAAGGAAGATACCCAGTAAATGCTCCAAGGAAGACCACCAACAGGTAAAGGCAGGGGAGATGCTGGGTTTCTGAGAGGTGTGACTGCCTCTGGTAGGGAGAGGGCATTTGAATGTAGGCCTGAGGGACCCTAGGCCACAGGGCACAGGCCTCTCTGTGAGACACATCAGTATGGTGCAGCTAAAGCGCAGAGCTAGTCCCCCTCTGCTGCAGCCTCTTCCCCAGGGACTCAGTGGACACACAGTGTAAATAACATGGGCTGCTAGGCCCACATTTCCAACCTTATCCAGGTGAAGGACTCCCAGCAATTGTGACCCAGGCCTCTCCCTGTTGTTCATAGTCTGTGTACAATAGCAGCTGAGACTGGGTGGGGCTGGCCTCTTGCTGGTCCACGAGGGTGCTCTCTTGTGATTGCTGCATTCTCCTTCTCCCTGCTACAGCGTGAGGTCAGCCCCTTGGCCAGGTGACCCAGCAGCCCATGGACTTGCTGTATCCTCATATTTGAAGACAGATGTCATTAGAGGCTGAGTTTTCATCTAAAGCAGTCCTGTGGCTGCTAATTGAGGCTCACCTGTGGTCCCTGTTCCACCTGCCTGCCACAGAGAGCAGGGAAAGGGCTGTGTGGTATTCAGGGAAGAGTATGTTTGGTCCCTAGATCACAGAAGCCACCTTCCACATCCTGTAAGTAAAAGGATATGTAAAGATTTCCTCTGCTTTCAGCCAGCCATTCTAGGCCTGTCCCTGGTTGGACTCCTTGGGCCCCAGAGGAAAGGTAGGTGGTGCTGGGGTTGAGCTCAGGGCACCCAGAAACAAAAAGAGCAAGCAGAACAGTCCATGCTGTGGTATGTGACCCGAACATTTCAGGAACCAGTGACCTTAACGTGGTCTGTTTGCCTCCTTTGGAATGTGCTTTGTTTCCAAGGTAGCCTTATCGGGGTTTCTGACCACATCTCGTGAAATAGCTCTGCTTCTGGGTTTGTGGAGTTTAACCCTTTGAAGTTGTCCCTGGCTTTTAGCTTTGGGTTCTCCATCTCAGGTTAGCCCTGGGCTGAATTACAGTTTCTCTTTGTGACTTTGAGGCTCTTGATGCTGTTACCCCTAGAACATGTTAGTTACACCATACCACCCTCATGGTACGTTAAGGTTGCCCACAGGTGTAACAGGCCTTAATTCACATAAATTCACATCTTCAGAAGGAAAGACTGCCTTCTCCCTGGTGGAGAGGCAGGACCTCGAGTTCTAGAAGTCCCTGGGTATGCTATGCTCAACAGCTCTTTGAGGGCTTACAGATTCCCACTAGAAGACAGATGCGAGTTAGTTTTTTAAAGGTGCCCCTCTCCAGATGGAGCCTGCAGACTGCCCACTGGCTCCATCCGGTGCTTGCAGGCCTTTTGAAGGAAATGGCAGATGTCAAGACTCTTCACTTCTAGGTGCCCTTTTCTCTTAAGAAAAGGGAAAAGACCATTCTTGTCTTTACTCACAGACCCATCGTTGATGATGTCTAAGAAATGATACAAAAAGTCCTGGTGACATCCAGCAGCCAGTCCACAATCAGAATTCCCAGTTGTTCCCCACATGTCTTTGGTAGCTGTTTTTCCCAATCAGAATCCTACATTTCAGTGGGTGCTGTGTCCTTCTGTTGCTCTGCCCCAGTGCACACCCTGGGTGAATGTAGGTGGCACATGATGGTGTGTCTGATGGTGCATGCTTGGGATTACACTCTCCTTGGAGCTCCCCAGCCTGGGGTAGCTGTTGGTGAGCACATCACCTGTTGGGGCATCCTTTACACAGTTTCTATGGTCCTTCCTAGTGGGCTTTCTCATGCTGCTATTCCTTCTGCTTGTCTTACATTCTCCCTCACCTTGGGACACCTTCCCTCTGTTACCAGTTTTCAGGGGAAGTGTTTGGTGTAATGGTCACCTCTATTGCAACAAGTGTTTTCATGTTTACATTTTCTTCTTTGACTGTCAGGGTAGGCTAATGGATTTTTACTTACGTGCTGCGTTACAGTTTATTAAAAGTGTTTTGTTTGTATATGTGATGCTCAGATTGTTACAAATGTGACCACTTGGGAGCTCCTCTGAGCTGGATCCTGTGTCCTTATCACTCAGCACACCCTTCTTGGATACTTTCTTTATATGACCTGACCTCCTGGCTCACCTTCACTTTCTTTTCCAGACCTGCAACAAGCATGTCTTGAGTGCTTTGGTTTATTTTAATAAAGAAAGGTATCTATCGTGTTTATGCATTTTATCATTATGATGATTATTATAGTGCCGAGAACTGAATCCCTGGCATTGTGCGTGCTAGGCAGACACTACCACTGAGCCACACCCCAGCCGTTTATGTATTATTGCTTATTGACCTTTTGGTGAATGGCACTAGGAAATTTGTTGTTAAAATATCATGAGTTCAGGCTGGGGTGTACCTCAGTGGGAGAGCACTTGCCTAACACGTGTGGATTCCTGAGGTTGATCCCAGCACACAAAAAAAGCAGGCAAACATACAAGAATCTCAAGTTCATACAGATATTTTCAATGCAAATTTAAAATTACATGGCTTTACTTAATTCCCTTGATTCTTTATCTTACCCTGAGAAATCACAGCTCTTGTGTGTGTGTGTGTGTACGTACGTACGTACGTGTACAGGGGTACTGGGGCTAAACTTCAGGACTTTGTGCTTGCTAGGCAGGTGCTCCAGCACTTGAGGCACACCCCAGCTGTCTTTAAGTCAGTCATATTTGCTTAGAGCTGAGCATCTTTGCCCAGTCCAGCCTTGCACTGCAATCCTTCTACCTGGGCTTCCTGAGTGGCTGGGATTACAAGCGTATGCCATCATGCCTGCTTGTTGAGATGCGTGAGGAAGTCTTGCCTTGATCTCTGCCTCCGAGTAGCTGAGATTACAGTTGTGTGCCACCATGCTCAGCCCTGGAGTTCTTTTGAATCAATTTTTTTCTTCTCTTTCTTTTTTTTTTTATTTTTTGGTGGTACTGGAGTTTGAACTGAAAGATTTACATTTGCTAGGCAAATGCTCTACCATTTGAGCCACTCCTCCAGCTCTAAAACTTAATTTTTATTTACAGAATCATTACTTGCGCTGGAGATGTGGTTCAAGCAGTAGAGTAACTTCTCGAACATGAAACCCTGAGTTCAAATCCCAGTAATGCTAGAAAATAAATAAGTGAAATAAAATAATTACCTGTGTAAAAAAATACCTTCTCCCTTCTTTAAGGCAGTCCCTTTTACTTTATCCTGCAGAGATCAGCAAAGACACACCAACCTCATTTTCCCTCCTGTCCTCCACAGAAGGGAGCAAGTACTGCGTATGCCATGTGTGTCTTTTTGTTGTTTTTGAGACCTTCTTGCTGTGTAGCCCAGACTGGCCTCAAACTCACAATCCTTTCTCAGTCTTCCAAGAGTTGAGGTTACAGACGTGTGCCACCATGTTCAACTATGGTCTGACTTTGTTACTTGGCATATTCCTGAGTGTAAGTCTTTCTGGTGTGTCCAGTTTTGCTGTGGGCTGCTTCTGTAACTGAAGACTGGTGTGTGTTTTGCTTATAGTGAGACTGTCTTCTGGGTCTTCTAAGAATGGGACTGCTGGGAGGAGTTACAGTTGTAAATTGAGAGTATTCCATAAGTTAACTACCATTAAACTTCAGGTGTTTTTGTTTTTGAAACTAAAAAGATGTAAAATAAATACCAGGAAATTTTGGTTTTGAGTGCCTCCTTTCTGCTCTTCTCCTCTCCCTTGGGTCTGGATCACACTGAAGGGTTTCCTGGTACCCTCTATTTAAGGGCAGTGGTACTTCATCAGCAGAGTTTGTCCCAGGCCTGAGAGCTTTACTTATCATTGCTTACCTATTTTAACTAACTTTGTTTACTGGAAAACAGAATCACTACCAGGTGCCATCCTGATGTACTGTGTAGGAAACTTTCATTTTTCAAGGCCAAGATGTCACCTCCACAGCCTTAGGGAGGTGACAAAGCCCAGGTTGTGCTTCACACATGTGTGACAGTAACAGAGAGCCACAGGAGCATGGTTTATTTATGGGGTGAAAATCAATGCTAATCTGCTTTTTACCCTTCTGTATGTGGGGCTGAAGTAGGAGAAAATGATTTTTTTCTAGTAGTAAACATTAGAATAGGTGACAGAAATAGAAATATTACTGCTGTTTCTGGTTGTAAGAGAAAATGTGAAAAAGTAGGTAGTAGAGAAATACATAAAGTAGGAAGCAAGAGTGTTTCTTAAGTACCACAGTTAACGTGAACACACCCTTCCAGGTGCATGTTTGTGTATGTGGGTGCATGTGTTGGTCCAGCCCTGGGTAAGCAAGGAGCAGTGGCAGCCCTCCTTCTGGGCAGACTTGGGGCTCAACAGGATGCAGCACAGCTTGTGAGAACTCACTGGCAACTCTGGGTGGATGGACGCAAAGATGGTTTCTAGCTGTTAAACTTCCTATTGTGAAGTGTCACTTGCTAAGACAGGCCATCCAGATGCAAAGATGGAAAGTTACCTCTGCCATCACCCATCTCTCTCAAAGTTAACTGGCATTGCAACTTCTACCGCTATAATTCACATCAGTGGGGTCATGTGTTGCATCTTCTGTTTTGTCTAGCTTTTTTTTTTTGTTCAATATCATACTCATTGAATATAATGATTTTTGTTGCTGTGTAATATTCCATGGAATGAATCTATTATGATATGTATGTAATTGATAGTTGTTTTTGGCCATTATTTCTAGAATGTTTTTATGAACATTGTTGCATTTGTCTTTTGCTGCGTGTCTGCAAGCATTTCTCTTGGGGATATACCTGTAAGTGGATGCTATAGACTGAATGTTGTTTTGTGTTCCCCCTCCCACCCAGTTCATATGTTGAAACCAAACTCACAATAAGGTGGTATTAGAAGTAAGGCCTGGGGACTGGCAGAGTGGCTCAAGTGACAGAGCACCTGCCGAGCAAGCTTGAAGCCTTGAGTTCAAACCCCAGTACCACCAAAAAAAAAGAAGAAGTGAGGCCTTTGGGAGGTGATTAGGCTGTGG